CTGCCGCTGCTGCTGCTGTTGCTGTTGCTGCTGCTGCTGCTGTCCTCATCCCTTATCGCTGGGATTGCATGCGGCTCGAGCTGCTGCACTGCAGCACAAAACTCAAAAAACCTGAGGGCCCCGGGGGCCCCAAAAAGGCCATTTGGGGCCCTTTGCTGCTCCTCATATCCACCCGGTATTTCAGCAAAGCTGCTGCTGCTGCTGCTGCTGCTGCTGTTGCTGATTGTGTGCTGCTGCGAGGGAAAGAGACGGGCAGCAGCTGCTGCTGCAGGGTTGCACTGCTGCAGCAGCAGCTGCAGCACGTAGCAGCGCTCAGCAAGGGCCCCCAAAAAGTGTAGAGGCTCCGGCAGCAGCAGCAGCAGCTGCTGCTGCTGCTGCTGGGGGCCCCACAGGGGTAGGGCCCCCAAGGGGGGGCCCCCCAGGGGCCCCTCAAAGGGTACAGAGAACTCCAGAGCCACATCTTCAATAACGCCCTGAGGAGCTCGAAGCGCAATCGGCACAAACCCTAAACCCTAAACCCTAAACCCTAGACACTAAACCCTAGGCTTCAAGCCCCAGGTCCTAAACCCTAATCCCTAAGCTGCGTATTTGACGGTGGACTTTCAGTCTCGAGCATCAGAGACCAAATGCGTGAATGCCTAAGCGGGTGATAAATCCTAAACCCTAAACCCTAAACCCTAATCCCTAAACCCTAAACCCTCACTTGGAAGCAGTAGCGAGTCATGGTGTGCAGAAACGCAGAGACCGTGGCTTCAACAAGCCGCAGGGCAAGCAGAGACTCCAGGGTCTCCGGTTGCTGCTGCTGTTGCTGCTGTTGCTGCTGCTGCTGTTGTTGCTGCTGCTGCTGCAGAGTCGAAGGCCGCTTAAGATGCTGCAGCGCCGCAGCAGCTTTTAAGAGATGTGACACCATGGCTGTCCCTCGAGGGAAACGCCAGCCCCCGCTGCTGCTGCTGCTGCTGCTGCTGCTGCTGCTGCATGCAAAGTCCAGGTTGCACAGTCGGGCCAGCAGCAGCAGCGGCAGCCGCCCTCGGTTTTG